GGTCTCTGGGCCCAGCCCGGCCCCACGAAAGGTTTGTGGAGGGAAAAGACTGACTTTGGAGCTGGAGGCAGCTGTGCTAGGAACAGCCTCTCCTGGGAAAGAGCGTTGTCAACAAGCAAATGGTTGGCTGGTACAGCGAGACCAACCACACCGCCCTGGGCAGGGGAGGATCCGCCCCGCCCTGCTAGCCTCTTGCTCCTGGGCTACGTCTGCCTAGACGGTTCCTTCGGAACACTGTGTCCCCACGCCCCTTGGGAGGGGTCCCCCCTCCAGAGCAGTGCCTGGACTGAGCTGGTTTGCCGGCACTGTGCCTTCCCGTGGCCACGGTGCTGACACCACAGTGCCTGCCTGCGGCTCTTCTCCCTCCCAGCCTTTGCCTCTGCCATGCGTCTGCCCGGTGTACCCTTGCTCCTGCCCCACCCCCTTGACTTGGCTACCTCCTTGTCATCCTCAAAGTCACCGCCCAGGCCTCAACTCCTCCAAGAAACCTTTCCTGACCCCTCCCCCTCCCCCCCATGACTTAGGTGTCCCTCCTCCATGCTTATCTCTATTGGTGCCCTTATCACATATTATAATTTATTCAACAAATATTTACTGAGTGTCTGTTTACTATGTACTAGGTGCTGGGGACAGAGCAGGGAGCGGTAGCGGCCAACATTGTTGAGTATGACAGTATGCTAGGCATCTAACCCCAACCTGAGCCCTATGGGGTACGTGCTGTTATTATCCCTGTGTTACAGGTGTGGAAAGTGAGGCACAGAAAAGTCAAGTGCCCTCCCCCAAGCTCACCAGCTAGTAAGGGTCAGAGCCAGAATTCACACCCAGGCTGTGAGCCCATGTTCTTGGCCTCTGTGCGCTTCTGCCTCAAGACAGACGAGGTCACTGGCCTTATTGGCTTAGGTTCTAATGCAGGAGGCAGCTGAAAAGCAAGCAATAAAGAAGATACTTTCAGATGTTGATGGGTGCCATAAAGGGAATTCGCTTACTTACCACTTGCTATCTAGTCGACTCTGACTCATGGTGTCCCTATGTGTGTCAGAGTAGAACTGTGCTCTACAGGGTTTTCCATGGCTGGTTTTCTTCAGAAGTAGATTGCCAGGCCTTTCTTCTGAGGCACCTCAGGGTGAACTTGAACCACCAACCTTTTGGTTAGCAGCCAAGCATGCTAACAGTTTGCACCACCCAGGGACGCTTATGAACGGAGGAAACAGGTGGAAACGATGGAGAGTAAATGGGGAAGGAAGTGAGGGATGAGGAGAAGCCAGCTCTTTGAAGAGCTGTGAAAGAATATTCCAGGCAGAAGGATCAGCAGGTACAAAGGCCTTGAGTTTGGGAACATTTTAGAGCGTAGGGAACGAGGAGAAGGCCAAGGTAGGGAGTTTTGCATTTTATTCTGTGAACAGCAAGGAGCCTTTGGAAGGTTCTAAGCAGAGGTGTGCCATGGTTTAAACAATCCCCCTGATTGCTGTGCAGGAGCCCCTGGTGATGCAAACAGTTAATGTAGTTAACAAGCTTGGCTGCTAACCAGAAGGTCACAGGTTTGAGTCCACCCAGAGGAACTTCAGAAGAAAGGCCTGGCAATCTACTTCCAAAAAACCAGCCATTGAAAACCCTATGGAGCACAGCTCTACTCTGACACACGTGGGGTTCCCATGAGTGGGCATCGACTCAACAGCTACTGGTAACTGACTGCTGTGCAGGAGGAAGATTTTTAGGGAGCAAGAGTGGAAGCAGAGGCTTCTGCAGGATTCCAGGAGTGAGATGCTGGTGGCTGGGACCAGGGTGGACGCCTTTGCAATGGAGAGAAGCAGACGAGCTAGAGATCCATGCTGAGCAGGGAGCTGCCAAGACACTGCCCTGTGTCCACCACCAGGCTGGAAGCTTTGAAGGGCTGTACCACCTTGTTCATCTTGGTGTCCCTAGCCCAGTACCTGGCTCAATAAATGTTTGTTGAGTGAAGAAAGGTGGTGTCCCTTTCACAGCCGAGGAAAGCAAACCTCAGAGGTTGATCAAGAGCCCAAATCAGTCAGACAATGGCAGAGCTGGGGTTGCACCCATACTGGATTTCACAGCCTGCCCTGGGATCACCTCCCTCTGCCAGTAGAAAGGCTGAAACGAACGACACAGGAAATAGCTTCTGTCTTAGTCACCTAGTGCTGCTATAACAGAAGTACCACAAGTGGATGGCTTTAACAAAGAGAAATTTAGTTCTTCACAGTAACGTAGGCTAAAAGTCCAAATTCAGGGCGTCAGCTCCAGGGGAAGGCTTTCTCTCTCTGTTGGCCTTCTCATCAATGTTCCCCCGTACTAGGAGCTTCTCTGCGCAGGGACCTCGGTCCAAAGGACGCGCTCTGCTCCCGGCACTGCTTTCTTGCTGATATGAGGTCCCCCTGGCTCTCTGCCCACTTGTCTCTTTTATATCTAACGAGATTGCCGGATACAGTCCAATCTTGTAGATTGAGTCCTGCCTCACTAACACAACTGCTGCCCATCCTCCCTCATTAACATCACAGAGGCAGGATTTACAACATACAGGAAAATCACACAATACCAGGAATCATGGCCCAGCCAAATTGATACACACATTTTTAGGGGGACATAATTCAATCCATGACAGCTTCCTTATCTGAAAATATTCACACAAAAAAAAAAATATGGAGCCCTGGCGGAGCAGTGGTTAAGAAATCAGGCTGCTAACTAAAAGGTCAGTAGTTCAAATCCACCAGCCACTCCTTGGAAACCCTATGGGGCAGCTCTACTCTGTCCTGTAGGGTCACTATGAGTCACAACTCGACGGCAACAGTTTTTTTTTAGTTTGAAAATAGGGACAAATAATACTTAACCTTATCATTTTTGTGTTTTTTTCTAAATTTTATTTATTTTGTTGTTGTTGAGATTATACACAGCAAAACATACACCAATTCAACTGTTTCTACATGTACAATTCAGTGACATTGATTACATTCTTCGAGTTGTGCAACCATTCTCAACCTCCTTTTCTGAGTTGTTCCTCCCCCATTAACAGAAATTCACTGCCCCCTAAGGCTCCTATCTAATCTTTCCAGTAGCTGTTGTCAATTTGATCCCATGTAGACAGTTCTTAAAAAGAGCATAATGTTCAAGGCAGACCTTTTTTACTAGTTAGGCTGAACTACTGAAGAAACTGGGTTATTTATCCCGTTGAGCTCCCCACAGTCTAGATTTTGCTGATTGACTTTCTGTGGTGTCTTTTAACATGTTCCTCTGTCCCCGGTATTTCCTGTAAGTGGTAGACATAATTCAGGTCTAATTTCTTTTTGGTAAGACCACTTCTGAGGTAGTGTGTGCTCGTATATCAGGAGACACACAGCGTCCGGCCACCATTAATGCTCACCACCTAAATCCATTTAACAAAAAAAAGCTACCGTCAAGTTCATGTCAACTCATGGCAACCCCATATATGTCAGAGTAGAACTGTGCTCCATAGGATTTTCAGTGGCTGATTTTTCAGAAGTAGATCACCAGGCCTTTCTTCTAAGGCACCTCTGGTTGGACTTGAATCTCCAACCTTTCAGTTAGCAGCCAAATGGGTTAACCATTTGCACAACTCCATTTAATTCATTAAACCAAAAAAACCAAACCCATTGCCATCAAGTTGAATTCCGACTCATAGCAACCCTATAGGACAGAGTAGAACTGCCCCATAGGGTTTCCAAGGTTGTAATCTTTATGGAAGCCGACTGCCACATCTTTCTCCCTCGGAGCGGACCACCAACCTTTTGGTTAACAGCCGAGCGCTTGACCACGGGGGCTCCTTATTTAATTCATTAATTCATTACGGATTGTAAAATGATAATATTTTAATTGGGTCATCTCTTCTTTAGTTATTAGCTGGGTCAAACTAGAACTCTTTTAACAGATATATTGCAAGAAAAAAATAAAAGAGGTGAAGGGGCGTCCACAAATTAAAAGAGACTTATCAATCAATCACAACATGTTAACATTATTTGGATCCTGACTTAAAACAAATAAATTGGGAAGGGGGTACTTATGAGACAATTGGAAGTGTGAACTGAATATTTAATAATATTAAAGAATCTTTATTGTTTCAAGCATGTTATTCATATTTTTAAGAGTTCTTATTTTTAGAGATAACATATGAAAATGTTTACAAATAAAATTATGATGTCTGAGATTCGCTTCAAAATCATATGGGAGGGGAAGTGGGGGGAGGTTTACAGATGAAACAATATTGACCACAGGGTGACTGATGATTGTTGAAGAGGACTGACGAGATTTATTATTCTATTCTAATTTGTTTGAAATGTTCTATAACAAAAATTAAAACAACAACTCTATTTTCTGAAATGACATTATACAGTCACGACCCCAGTGAGCATCTTTACGGAAGCATTATTTTTTTCTGTTGAATTATTTCCGTAGGAAACATTTCCATGACATAAGACAGGAACTTGTGTTAAGGCTCTTCATCTCCTTGTTTTGAAGTGCTCTCTTTCCTCAGCTTCTGCTTTCGCCGTCTCCGGATTCAAGGCCCCTGTCTCTGACCCTCCGTCTTGGTCCACTTTCTCTCTTTGTCTGAGTTCCCAAGATTCCCACCCACCTCTCTGGGCTCGGCCAGCTCCTCTGAGCAAACGCTGTCTGGAGCTGCCCTCTTACTCTTACGCTCCTACAAGACTGCGTATGTGAGACAAATGAAAACAGCTAAGAAACTTCTCTCATAATCCTTAATTAAGCCAGAGAGCTTGAGCCCTGACCCCAGAGAGACTGCCCTCCCCCCTCTGTCTGGGAACCTTCTTTCTGGCTTCTGCGCCGGTGCAGGGGGATGGACGGAATGACCTGTTGTTCACCTCTCGCTTCTGGAGCCCCTCTGTGCAGGAAGCAGGGAGGAACTGCGGACCCCTCCACAAGGCAGTCCTGACAGCAGCACAGGCAGAGAAGCAGGCTGGGGGAGGCGTGGGCTGGGCTGCCCCCTACTCTGCAACTGATGGTCTTTCTTTTAGGAACTTCACGTCCATCTTCTACCCCGACTATGGCAACTGTTATATCTTCAACTGGGGCATGACAGACAAGACCCTCCCTTCCGCCAACCCTGGAGCTGAGTTTGGTAAGTCTGGGCTCCTGAATCTTCACCATGAGACTTGTAAGTCCCCACCATATGGGGCTGAAGACAAAATTACCATCAGATGTTAAGGGACAGTATTGAGGGTTAGCCAGTACAAAGAGAAGGGGTCATTACTGAGTCTCTACTGTGGGCCCGGGGAGGCTGGGCCAGCTGCTCTCCCAGCTATGCCTCACCCAATGCTCATAATCCTGGGGGTAAGGACTTTTGTTCCCATTTTGGTGATAAGCAAAGTGAGGATTGGAAGCCGTACAGCTTACTGGTCAGGAGCTCAAGTTCCTAGTGCCTGGTTTGAATTCCAGCTCCATCACTTACTCACTGGGTGATCCCGAGCATGAGACTTGACTTCTTACAGCCTTAGTTTCTCTATTCGGAGAATAGGCACAAAAAATAGTACTCAGTAACCTCACTGAGACATTGTGGCATAAAGAAGGCAAACGGCTCATCACAGGCCTGGTGAGTAGTGGTGATGTTGTTAGCTGCCCTCCAGTCAGCCTGGACTCATGGTGACCCCATGTACAATGGAAGCAAACACTGCCCATGATTGGTTGAGGATCAAACTGTTGTCATCCATAGGGTTTTCAGTGGCTGGGGTTTTTGGAAGTAGATCACCAGGCCTTTCCTCCTAGTCTGTTTTGGTCTGAAAGCTTCACTGAAACCTGTTCAGCATTATAGCAAGACGCAAGCCTCCACTGACCAATGGGTGGTGGCTGTGCATGAGCTGCATTGGCTGGGAATCAGAAATAGGTCTCCTGCATGGAAGGCAAGAATTCTCAATATATGCAAGATGTTCTGAGAAATTTTTGCAGATGTTGACCAATAATTGGCTCTTACTCTTAGCCTCCTGGAAAGGGAGAATCACAGAGACAGAGAGCGAAGGAGTAGAGAAGAGAGAAAGTGGGGAATGACTACTGATGGATGCTGCTTTTCTTGAGGTTGATTGACTGGGTTCCTCAGGAAAGGCTGGCAAACTCAGGCAGGTCATGCTTTTGGGCTGTGAGCCTGGCATGAGGGGAAGTGAATCCTTCCTCCCACCCCTCAGGTCTGCCCTCCCCAGCAACCAAAAGGTGTGTTGTCATTCAGTGGCCTTTAGGGCTGCTGGCTAAGAAGGGGATACGCTGTGTGGAAAGGAGATTATGGGGTCAAGAGGGGCCCAGGTAGGAGGCTCTGCAGAGCCTGCATCAGAGATGATGGTGGCTTGGACTAGGATGGTAGCCTTGGAGAAGGCAAGAAGGTTGGGGGGTCTGGGTTTTGCAAAACGGAGCCAGCTTCCCTGGCAAGCCCTGAAGATCCCTTTGGTGGTAGTGGGCTTGGACAAGTGGAGCTGGGTCTCCCTTCAACCTTGGGGTGCAAGTTTAGGCAGCCCTCGGCCCACCTTCCCCACAGGCCTGAAGCTGATCCTGGACATCGGCCAGGAAGACTACGTGCCCTTCCTCACGTCCACGGCCGGGGCCCGGCTGATGCTGCACAAGCAAAAGTCCTACCCCTTCGTCAAAGATGAGGGCATCTATGCGATGGCGGGGATGGAGACATCCATTGGGGTGCTGGTGGTATGGCCTGGCATCCAAGGGCAGCCCGAGGGGGACTGAAAGGGGGAAAGCCCACCTGCCCATGGCCCGAGAGCAGGGACCCAGGCCTTCCCCAAGCCCTGGCCCCCTTCACAGTCCACTCCTGCTTTGCCTTCTGGCTGGAACCATCTGCACAGCCATCCACCAGGAAAAGTGAGCCCCCTCTGCCGCCCCCTCTGGTGCCTGCTGGGGCCTGCAGCTCTCCCTCCTTCCAGCATCCCCTGCTCCAGGCAGGCTTGATGCTTTCAAGAGCTAATAGGGAAGGAGGTACAGAGGGGGCTTCTCGGCAGTGATCAGGGCTCCCACGAGCAATCCTTCTGACACAGGACAAGCTGGAGCGCAAGGGCAAGCCCTACAGCCAGTGCACCATGAACGGCTCCGACGTCCCCATCCGAAACCTCTACAGTGACTACAACACAACCTACTCCATCCAGGTGGGCAGACGGTGCAGATCTGCAGAGGCCAAGGCGTCAGGTCCCCAGGGGAGCTGGCCCCCGCAAGGCGGGCTCTGCTGGATGTGTGGAGATGGCCAGGGGGCATCTTGGGGCCCAGGGCTGGCCACCTCTCAGCCCCACCTAGGCAGGCGTGCCCTTGGGGATGTCCAGGATTACAGGGATCCCACTCTGGGGTCTCCTGAGAGTGCTTATTATGTGTAAGACAGTGCACTGAAGGCTTTACATACATCATTTGATCCTTACAGCACTTCTCCGAGGCAATAATGTGCTAATAATAGCAGCAGTCATAGGGATTATCACATGCTAGACAGGCACTGTTCCTGGTACTTTACATATATTGAATCATTTCATCCTCACCACCGCCACCACCAGTTGTCACTGAGTCGATTCTGACTCATGGTGACCTCATTTGTTTCAGAGTAGAACTGTGCTCCATAGGGTTTTCAATGGCTGATGTTTCAGAAGTAGATCACCAGGCCTTTCTTCGGAGGCCCCTCTGGGTGGACTTGAACGTCCAACCTCTCCATTAGCAGCTGAGCACATTAACCCTTTGCACCACCCAGGAACTCATTTTACCTGAAAAGTTCCTCTTTGTATCTGACTTCAGTCCTCCTTGCTGCAGCTGGGGCTCCTCTCTTGTGCCAATCTCCTGAGAGGCCTCGGTCCCGGCCCCAGTGGAGAGGGCAGACCGAATCCTGGCAAAGATGACAAAAATGACTTCCTGCTGACACTTCCTCTCCCAGCCCAGTGGGCCTCCGGGGTTTGCATTGCCCTGTCCTTCCTCCCATGCCCTTCCTTGGCAGATAAGGAAACTGAGGCACAGCAAGGGGTAGCCAGGTGCTGCCTCCATGTCTGACAGCCCAAGTTTGGTGGGCTTCCCTTCTCCTCAGTCACAGGAAATTGGCCTTCCCAGGTGCCAGGCTGCCACTGTCCACCATGCCCCACCCCACACTGACCCACTGGGTTGGCCACCTCTTGTCTGGAGGGGCTCCTACCTGCCATGCAGGACTCTGGGAATCTTTGGAGCCTCTGGAGGGATAGACAGAGAGACAGGGCAGAGACCTCATTCCAGAAACACCTCAGTCCTTGCTTCTTGCAGTGCAGTAGCCACTCTGGCTGAAGGCCTTCCTGAAGACCCAGGCCCAGTCAGGTGCCCTGGCTATGCCCACCCCACCCTGACCAGAAGCAGCCCTGGGCCCACCCCTAGCCTCAGACCCAGGGCCTGGAAGCATTAAGACACTTGCCCAGAGCCACAGCTCCTTGCTTTCCCCCACTGCCTCCAGGCCCAGCTCTGGCTCCTCCTGGCTTTGCCATCTAACCTCCCAGCCAGCCCGCATTTCCTGCCCCCGAGGAGCCCACACACGTCAGATTGGCCAGGGAAGGAGCAGCCAGGACGGTCAGAGGTGGAGGTGTATTCATTGGCTGCAGGAGTGGAGGACTCTGGGACAGCTTCATGGAGGGGTGGGCCAAGTTGAGAGGTAGAGAGTAGTGTGAGGGCGGGCGTGTGAAGCATGCTGGAGCCTGGAGTCCGTGTGGTCAGGGGTAGGAAACTGGACAAGGGGAAAACAAGAATTAACAGCTGCTTCCATTTTATTGAGCACTTGCTAAGTACCAGATGCCAAGGAGTTACCCACATGAGCTCACTGAATCCTCCCTGTGGTAGGAGACAGGTGCATCTAGTACCGTCTTTCAACCTTGAGGAAACAGGCTCAGAGCTTAATCACTTGCCCCAGGACACATAGTTGGTCTCTGTAAAAACAGTGTGGTGGATGGCAACTGACCTCCTCTAACTTCACAAGGGGGGGAGGAGAATCAAGATCAACAGCCCAAGGCTGACTCCTATGAGGCGAGGTTAGACATATCTCCTCTCTCCAATCTGTCTACCAATTCTGACACCAACCATCCCCCCCACGTGCTCTCTACTTCTCTGCTGGGTTTGATAATTCATTGCAATGGCCACACAGAACTCACAGACCATGCTCACAGTTATCGGGTTTATTAGGGAAGTAATAAGTTATAATTCAGGATCAGGAACACTCAAGATACAGTTCTTCCATCAGGATGGCCTCTTTTCAGCCACGCCCGCAGGCAGGCCTCTCTCTGGCCCTCAAATTCTCAGCCCCTTAGCCTGGCCTCTGCCCTGCTCGGGCAAGTGTTACCAAGCTCTTTAGCTCTGCCAGTAAGTGCCCGGGGGCACCCCACCCCACCAGGAAGCCTCCTGCCCGAAGGTGCTCAGCTGTCTTGTTCTGTGGGTTGGCACACCCGCAGTAACTGCCTTGTTCCATGGGCCAGGAAGCCCACTCTACCATCTCATGCTGGTCTCCTGGTTCTGCTGCCACTGCTTCTCTGCCACTACCTTTCGCCGTTTTGCACCATCTCTGGTGTTACAGCTCTCTCCCTCTGTCTCCTGGGTCTGGGAGGTTCTCAGCACAGGGACCCCGGGTGCAAAGGACATGCTCCACTCCCATCTCTTCTTCTTGGTAGTAGTGAGATTCCCCCCTTTCCACCTCTGGGATGGCTCATTTTAACCCTAGTGGGATGGCAAAACTGATCAATCCCCTTGTTAGGGTTCCATACACCTTATTTACATGGTCCCGCCCCTACAAGGGTGCCATGAACCTTATTTGCATTTTTAGCAAGCTGTCCAATCCTCTTGGTGGGCCACAAGCGCCTTATTTGCATAGTCACACCCAATCATTTGGTGGGCGTTACAAGATCATGGTGAGAAAGGCCATATAAAAGTGATCCATCTCACGACATTCACTGAGTGGACTGAAACCAGGTACACTGGGGCAGCTGAGTCCCTCTTTTCCCTCCCTCACACCCAGGAGGCATCCTGTAGACGCCAGCAGCAGCTCACTTCCTTTTTCATCAGCTCTGAGCGTTCAGAGATCCTCCTTCTTGCTTTCACCAGCTCTGAGCATTCAAAGATCCTCCTTATTGCTTTCACCAAGCTTTTTCTTCCAGGAGGAAGGAGCACAGGGCAGGCTTGCCCGTCTTCCTCAGAACTTCTGAGTCCCTATGTTTACAGAGCTCAGAAGGGGGCTGGCATCCTATACGGTGAGCTATCGAAGTGTTGGGAGTCCCTGGGAGATGCTAACAGTGAACGCACTCAGCTTCTGACTTAAAGGTTGGAAATCTGAGTCCACCCAGAGGCCCCTCGGAAGAAAGACCCATCTACTTCTGAAAAATCAGCCATTAAAAACCCCATGGAGCCCAGTTCTACTCTAACACACATGGAGTTGCCATGAGTCGGAGTCAACTCCATGGCAACTGGTTTTTTAAAATCTAAGAGTTAACTTTATTATTGGGGCAAGGCCACCCCTCCTCATGTCATCTGGGGTACCCCAGCTCTGAACGGTGGCGGGGGCCCAACCTCAGAGAGCTGGGCTGCTGGAGTCTGGCCTGAATCCCTCTGTGAAGGTGGAGCAGGAAGGACAGCCACACTGGTCAGGAGCTGCAGCTCTGCTGTTTCAGCACCTCTTCTCAGCTGAAGGGCACCTCCCCGGGCTCCTGGGCCTCCCAGCTCCCGTGGGCTGTGCATTAACCTCTCTGGGCCCCATCCCCTTGGGACTAGGGTGGGGACATCACACGCCATGTATGTGTTCTCCCCTACTCCCCCCAGGCCTGTCTTCGCTCCTGCTTCCAAGAACTCATGATCCAAAACTGCAGCTGTGGCCACTACCTGTACCCGCTGCCCCATGGGGAGAAATACTGCAACAACCAGGACTTCCCAGACTGGGGTGAGGGGGGCTCACGTGCATCAGTGCCCTAGCCAGCTGGGGCCATTGCCCACAAAGCCTCTGACTGTAAAGGAGAGGGCGGATCTCAATGCCCTCCACAGGGCCCAGGGACCATCTCTGTGGTGTCGCTGGCGGGGGAAGGTGTGGACTACACCCCCTGACCCTGTCAGAGGGGATGACACCAAAATGACCCCATGGTCTGTGGAGGTGGCAGGCAAGCCGACACGGCAGGGGGAGGGGCCCCCAAGGCAGTGACATCACTGGGGTTGGTGTCACCTGCTACCCAGCGCAGTAACTCATCACCACCCCCCACCCAGTCACCTGCCAATCAGGGTGTGGGCAGGCCACAGCGCTTGCCATTGGGCAGAGAAGAGGGTCTCTGCCTTAGCCAATGGGAGAGGGTGGTGGGGCCGGGAGGCCGGGGCTGCACGGCAATGAGGTCACTCTGCCCACTGGGCAGGAGAGGGGGTGTTCACTGGCCAACCCCCACGGGGACTGGGGAGAGTGACACCATGAGTTACTGCATTGGGTGACACCAACCCTAGTAACACCACTGCAGGGGCGGGCCTGGGCCCTCCGTGGTGCCACAGCCCCTTCGCACCAGCCTACGCCTCCTTTCTGCAGGGGCCAGCTCCCCTCCACGCCTGGGGTCCATGAAGTGTATGCTTGAACCATGTATGTATGGGAGTGCATTTGTCCTCTTCGGCATGTGGCTGTGTGCCACGTAAGTGCCCCCCATGCACGAGCCTGGATGTGTGGCTGCTAGCAAGCACACACGTATGTGCATTAGTGTTCTCACACGCACGTGTGAAAGGGCATTCTGCATTTGTAGGGACACTGGTGCACATGTGTGTACGGGTGCTCGGGCAGGGGTGTGAATTGCTTTCCAGGACTTGCATTGTGCCCTCAGGTTCGTATGCACGTGTATATGTGTGCATGCACCCTCAAGGCTGTGCGTATTATCTCAGCACGTGTGTCCCAGTCTCTGTGCTCACTGGGTCTCTCTGTGGGGTGCTAGAGTGAGAGTGGAGGGGGAGGAGGCCGCCAACACAAAGGTGGCCTCCAAGGACTCAAAACCTGAAGCCACAAGGGAAGGAGCCCCTCTGGGCGCACTGAGCTGGAGGCCAGGCCTGGGAGCCCTGGTGGCATGGAGTTCAAACACTGTGGATGTGGGTGGGGAAAAGGGGAGAGTCCCACCACCTCCTAAAGCCAACAAAATGTACTGACAAAAGGGAAAACTTGATTCCTTCCAGCCACCCATCTCTTTGTATCAGACCTCTGGGCAGGGACGGGAAGGATGATCAAGGGGAAAGCTGCTCTGATCCCTGCTGACATGGGCCCAGAGTATCCGGAAGAGGATCCTCCAGGCCAGGCTGGGGAGATTCTTCATGACAAGAGAGCTTGGATTGAGAACCCCTCATTTAACCACATACCTTAGTCTGCCCAGGGCCCTGGGACTCCCCTTCTGAACACAGGAGAAGAGAAGGGCCAGCAACGGGCCCCTCTCCCAACCCCCGTGTGGCCCCTGGGCTCAGAGAGGGAGAGGAGGGCAACTAGAGATGCCCCCTAAACTCTTGCCCACCTGCCTGTCTCCTGCTCAGCCTACTGCTACTTGGCTCTGCGGATAAGTGTGAAGCAGAGGGAGGCCTGCATCAGCAAGTGCCGAGAGTCCTGCAAGTGAGTGCGGGCGAGGGCAGACCAGGCCCCACCGCGGCGGGCAGGGTGGAGGGCGGTGCAGGCAGGACAGCAACAGGGTGGCTTTTCTCTTCCAGTGACACCACGTACACGATGACCATCTCCATGGCTGAGTGGCCTTCTGATTCCTCGGAGGTGAGATGATGGAGTGGCCAAGCCCCTGAGTTGTTGGGCTGGGGACAGGTCTGGGCACAAGCCTACAGGGTGTTTGGAGCTTTGGGAGGGTACCTCCTAAATTCCTCCCTCCCCCCCTTCCTCCCTTCTCTCCCTCCTTCTCTGCCCTTCTTCCCTCTCTTTCTTTCCCTCCCTCTTTTTTTCCCTCAGCTCCCTCTCTTCCTCCTTGCCTCCCTCCCTCTCTTCCTCCTTCCCTCTCTCTCCCTTCCTTTTTCCTCACTCCCTCCCCTTTCTCCCTCCCCACTTCCTCCCTCTCTCCCCCTCCCTTTCTTTCTCCCTCC